TAGGTCCAGAGGATAAAAGCGAAGCATAGGAAACAGGAAAGAAATGAAGAGATATGTCTTGCTGAGACCTCTCAATCTGTGTGGTAGAGTCCAATCTCATCATCACTGAGAACCTGTTGTTGTCCTAATACTGCCCTCCTTCAACCCTCAATCCAGACAAAGCCTCTCTAAACCGAGTCCCTTCTGGGTGTGTGGCCTCTCTCCCCAATTCCTATAGCCTCATGGCCCATATGCACTAATCCTCAGGTCACCTCTCTTTTAATGGTCTTGTTCTCACCACCTGCCCTCCTTAACTCCAAGGAGTCAGGTGCAGTTTTAATTTTGCCTTATTTCTGCCAAGCCGAAATAAAGTCTGTCTGTACTGAATACTGAACAAAGATGAAGTGAGGAGGCCAAGGTTTAGTGCCCAAGGGGCTACTGTAGCTGGGGAAGAATGACATACATAAAAATGTACTCGTTCACTCAGAAACCCACCTTTCCATCTTGTCCTCTAAACTATTTGTCAGCAATTCCCTCTCCTATGTGCACAAACTTAGAATCATACATACTTGCACATCAGTATCACATGTGAACAGGCCAGGTCTCTGCCAGATAGGCATTCTGAGGGTGAGCTCAGAGATGGGGGGCACATCAGACCTGGACCTCACAGAGCTCACATTTTGGTAGGGGAAATATGATGGAAACATCAGTATGTGATGCAATGTAGGTAATACGGAGTGAGTAAAGAAGAAGCTACTTGTTCTGTAAGAGCCAGGAAGGAATAAAAGACTTCTAATGTTTGCCAATATTTTCTGATCCTGTTCTTCTTAGGCATTTGCACGTAAAGAACAGGGCAGTCCCTGTCCTTGAGGAGCTAGGTCAGAGTGTAGGAAAGATGACGTACAATCAAGCTAGGCATCATGGGAAAGGTGGTATCAAACTCACTTTGAATGATAATTGAGATCAGATGTGACGGGGTAAAAACTCCAGACAGAAGGAACAGATGCTAGGCTTTATTATGCTCAGGGCTCTCCTTGAATAGCCCTTTCCTACTGCCCACAGGAAAAAACCCTTGGCATTTGACGTCTTTAGTGGCTTTCAGAGCTGTGTTGAAGACCTCCTCTGTGAAGCTTCCCTGACTGCTCCTCCAAATGGACAGGCACACAGGCCCCGAATTCCTGGAACTTATGTGTTCATTAAATGCTTGTTCTCATCTGATCTGGTATCCCTGAGAGGTTCCTTGGGCAGGCAGTGATCAATCTCCATATTGCATCCATAGAGTCTGGATGACTTGCTCAGAATTGTCCAACAAGTTAACATCACATAAAATTCTGGAACCACATAATACATCAAGTTAAGGCATGATGAGGGGAATCCTGTTGCTGGAGAGGATGATGAAAGAAGAGGTAGGTGGGGAATAACCTCTTTGTCTATTCAGCCCCCTACAGAAGCTAAGTAGCATAGACCCGGCTATGCTGGAACGTCTTCTGAGCTTGGACCGTCTGCTGGGCTCCCGGGGGACCCAGGGGACCCCTCTGCTAAGCACCCCAAAGCGAGAGCGGATGGTACTAATGAAGACAGTGGAGGAGAAGGATTTAGAGATTGAAGTAAGTGTTGCAGAGGCTGGGGCTGGGATTCCTGTTGGCCTTGAGAAGCTATGTGAGAATCTTCAGATAAGGACACTGAAAGGCTGGACTGGCATCTAGTTTTCACCCAGCACTGGGATCCCTCAGTTTTTTAGCTTCTGCTTGAATGTCTTTAACATGGCTAACCTTTGAAAAATAACTGAGATCAGATGGGAGGAGGTGAAACGGGGGGGGGGGGGAAGCCCAGGTAAAAGAAACAAATGTAAGACATTGCCATTTCCTAAAACCTAGCTCTCAAATTAAGTACGGTTCTTGGCTTGAGGCTTGAACAGTCCCTCCCTTTGTTGTTTCAAAAAGAAGCTCATTTCACTAGCTCTGATCACTAGAAATCTCTTAATTGTATTGGGCTCCAGTTGTCTCCTGGTACCTTATCCCATTGGTCTTCACCCTGCCCACTAGTGCCTTGGAGCCCTGCACACTCACTTTGCTAACCACTGCCCCTAAAGTTCCAGCTGCCCTAAAGTTGATTCTGGGTCACATCCCTCCCTGATCCTTTTCAACAGAGGCTTAAGATGAAGCAAAAAGAACTAGAAGCCAAGGTGCAGGCCCAGGAGGCCATGGACTCAAAAGAGAAAGAGAATTACTCTCCCACAATGCTCCAACCTCTTGCCCGCCGCACTGTCACAGTGGCTAAACCCCTCAAAAAGGCTGTGGTGATTCCCCTACAACTGAGTAAGTTTGGCTCTGGGGGCCAGGAGGGCGCAGATAACATTTCAGAAGAGAGGGGGTGTTAGCAGTAGTCCTCATGTCATTCATATCCTTCCACCATATGCCAGCCCTGGGGATGGGTGATGAAGATGTGAAATAGAGCTAATGCTCTGCTCTTAGACACTTAGTACAGTGGGGTAGGCTGATAAGTGCATGAGTGATTTTCATACAAGACCAACTGAGATTACTTTCAAATACCGGTATAAGAAAGGTCATGTGGAAACACGACAAAAGAAGTTAATTTTGGGTGGAGGGGAACCGGGGAATGGGTGAAGCAAGTGGCTACTAGGGAGAGTGAAAAGTAGCTTCTGTAATGACTCCAGTTCTTTCAGTTCAGGAGCAGGCAGCATCCCCAAATACTGACATTCACATCCTGAAGAAGAAAAGCCACAAGAGAAAGGTGAGAGTACCTGTAGGCTTAGTCTATACCTAGAGCCTAGAAGTAAGGGATAGTGGGAGAGCAGTGGGATGGAGTTATATGATCTGTCAATACTTATCAGCTATTTACAACTCTTTCAAGGTGCATATGGTCTGAATACACAGATAACTCAAGACATTTAGGATGAAATGCAGTGATATGCACGTACCTAGCAGAGCGGTTATTTGTTACTTTTCTTTCTTCCTGATAGCTCTAATGCTCAGTAACTACTTAATAGTATGGTGTGTAGGCTGGGTCCTGCCCTCTACAAACTCAGGAGCCCCTTACAGGAAACATGACCTAAACATTGGAGAAATCAAACAGTGGAAGAATGGAGATGGCATGGTTGGGGGAGGAGCCTTTTATTGACTACCTTCTCCTATGTGTTTTCCTAGGAGTGAAAAGAGAGCTTATTTCTTAGAAATGAGGGCCCAGATTTAAGGGTTCACTGTGTGCTTTACATTTACAAACTCATTCTTCACAGCAACTCTATTACCTTTCTTTCACAAGTTGGATAAAATGAGACTCAGCTCAGAGACCAGAGGGAAAGTTTTTGGACACTTGACTGGAGGGAAGGAGAGGCTGAAAAGGATGGGGAAGGTAGCTGCTGTTAGTCTCCTTGGCAGAGGAGTACAAAGCCTGCAGTGGGCTGAACAGCAAACTGTTGTTTTTGTCACTCACCTCCCACTGCCTCATAGTTGGAGTGCCTGGATGCCACAGAGCCAAAGGAAAAGGCTGAGGACTGCTGGGAGCTACAGATCAGCCCAGAGTTACTGGCCCATGGACGCCAAAAAATACTAGATATGCTGAATGAAGGCTCGGCCCGGGATCTCCGCAGCCTGCAGCGCATTGGCCAAAAGAAGGCCCAGCTCATCGTGGGCTGGAGGGAGCTCCACGGCCCCTTCAGCCAGGTAATGGCCCAGGGAGGGCAGTCTTGGAATGGAGGTGGGAGATTTGGGGAAAAACTTGGTACCCCCTAGACCCTTTGCCCATTGCTGTTGTCTCGCCAGGTGGAGGACTTGGAACGCGTGCATGTCATGTCAGGGAAACAGCTGGAGTCCTTCCTAAAGGTGAGCTTATGGCTTGGCCCCCTCCTTTCCCTGGCCTGTTCCAGACCCCCAGCTCTAAAACTGCTCTCTCCCTCCCTCTTGCAGGCGAACATCTTGGGTCTCGCCGCAGGCCAGCACTGCAGCCCTTCCTGACTGCCAGCTCCTCTCTTCACACGTTTTTTTTGTGTGTGCGCAGTCTTTGTATGACCGCTTCTTGTATAAATACAGTTTTAACTCCGTTGCTTCAGCCTGATTCTTGGGACTAAGGGGATGGGACGAGGGGTATAATTGCTCTTCGGACTGGCCACAATCTCCGTCACTAACTTCCTTGGGCGCCATCTTTGGAAAAACCTGCGGCAACCCAGGGTTGTAAATAAACTATTGGAGCTGAAAAGGATGGTGGCCGATATAAAACAAAAAGCTGACGCGAAACCTAGAAGACAACGACCGTTAGGCGTGCGCGCGCTTCCTTTAGCTCCGCCCCATCTGTACCCTTGGCGCGCGCTCCCCATTTCTCCCCAGCGTCAACGACAGCGGTTTTTGTGCGCGTGCGCGCGAAATAACGGCCGCTGGCGGAGGGAGGAGGGGGGTAAAAATCTTTGAAGTGGGGGGAGAGAAGCCGCTGTCTCCCGCGCACCCACCACCTGTGCCATCGTCAGCCAATCAGCGGCCGTCTTAGGGGTCTCGCGCTTGGGACGACTGGGGCTGTTGGGCGGCTCCTCCGGTGCCTCCTCCCGCCAGAGTCCGTCTTCTACCTCCCCCCCTCCCGTTGGCCTCGCGCGCGCTCGCGCTCGCGCCCGCTCCAGCCTCTTGTGTGTCCTCGCGCCCCCCGCCCGCCCTCCCCGCGCGCAGTGTGCTCCGCTCCCCCCACCCTCCTCCTCCTCCTTTCCCCCTCCCGCCCGCCCCACGCACCTCCTCCCTGGGTTCCCCCTCCCCCACTGACGCCTCCTCCTCCTCCTCCTCCTCCTCCCGCCCCAGGGTGAGCTCGAGCCACCTCCCTCCCTCCCTTCGCCATGGATCCCGGCAACTGGAGCAGCTTCATCTTCCAGGTAACAACCCCCTCCCCCCGCCCCCCACCCCCCCTTCTCACACCCCCTCCCGCTCGCCCTCCCTCCCGTCCCACCCCCCCTCCGCGCGCCCGGTGCGCGCGCAGCTGTCCCCCTCCCTCCTTCGCGCCCTCCCCCGCCCTCCCCGAGGCGCCGGCTGGGCGCGCGCGCGGCGGGGGCCGAGGCTGCTCCCTCGCTCCCCCCACCCCGCCCCGCCAGGCTCCAACCGCCGCCGCCGCCACCACCGCCTGGGCCCCCGCCCCCGGTCCTCGGCCCCGCGGGGGCCTCCCGCCCCCACCGTCGCTGCTGCGCTCCCCGGCCAGCCAGGCGCCCTCCTTCCCTCCCTCCCGCCGGCCGGGGTGCGCGGGCGGCGGGGCGGCCCTCGGGCCATGCGTTCGGCGCGGCCCAACCCGGCCGGCCGGGGGCGGCGCCCCGAGCCCGGGCCCCGTGCGGCCCGCGCCCCCGGCCCCCGCTGAGCCCCAGGGGGCCCACCGTGGCCGAGGCCATGTTCCCCGTGTTCCCTTGCACGCTGCTGGCCCCCCCCTTCCCCGTGCTGGGCCTGGATTCCCGGGGGGTGGGCGGCCTCATGAACTCCTTCCCGCCACCTCAGGGTCACGCCCAGAACCCCCTGCAGGTCGGGGCTGAGCTCCAGTCCCGCTTCTTTGCCTCCCAGGGCTGCGCCCAGAGTCCATTCCAGGTGAGTAGGGGGCCGGCCGTGGTGGGCCGGGCCGGGAGGGCGCCTACCAGCGGCTGCAGCCCACACGGTGCCTTGTCTCCGCAGGCCGCGCCGGCGCCCCCACCCACGCCCCAGGCCCAGGCGGCCGAGCCCCTCCAGGTGGACTTGCTCCCGGTTCTCGCCGCCGCCCAGGAGTCTGCAGCCGCCGCGGCCGCGGCCGCAGCTGCCGCCGCTGCCGCCGCCGTTGCTGCGGCACCCCCAACCCCAGCTGCCGCCTCTACAGTGGACACAGCGGCTCTGAAGCAGCCGCCCGCACCCCCTCCGCCGCCCCCGCCGGTGTCGGCACCCACTGCCGAGGCCGCGCCCCCTGTCTCTGCTGCCACCATCGCCGCAGCCACTGCCGTCGTCGCCCCGACCTCGACGGTTGCCGTGGCCCCAGTCACATCTGCCTTGGAGAAGAAGACAAAGAGCAAGGGGCCCTATATCTGTGCTCTGTGCGCCAAGGAGTTCAAGAACGGCTACAACCTCCGGAGGCACGAGGCCATCCACACGGGAGCCAAGGCTGGCCGGGTCCCTTCGGGTGCTATGAAGATGCCCACCATGGTGCCCCTGAGCCTCCTGAGCGTGCCCCAACTGAGTGGAGCCGGTGGAGGAGGGGGAGAGGCGGGTGCCGGCGGCGGAGCGGCCGCAGTGGCAGCCGGTGGCGTAGTGACCACCACCGCCTCGGGAAAGCGCATCCGGAAGAACCACGCCTGTGAGATGTGCGGCAAGGCCTTCCGCGACGTCTACCATCTGAATCGACACAAGCTGTCGCACTCCGACGAGAAGCCCTACCAGTGCCCTGTGTGCCAACAGCGCTTCAAGCGCAAGGACCGCATGAGCTACCACGTGCGCTCACATGACGGCGCTGTGCACAAGCCCTACAACTGCTCCCACTGTGGCAAGAGCTTCTCCCGGTGTGCACGGGGCCTTGGCCGCTCACTAGGCGGTGGGTGGGGAGGGAGGGACTGTGATGGAGGTGGCCTAGCCTTGCTGCTGGGGAGGGAGGAGGTTTCTGAGGATGGGGACTGGGAGCCACTCCCAGGGAGGAAGGGAGAAAAACCTCTCCGGGTTACCAGGGAGCAGGGGGTGGTACTTAGCAAAGGAGGTGGGTCCTTGGATTGTTGGAAAGCTTGGCATGGACAAGGCAGGGGAGCGATTTCCTGCCTAAGTAGGACTCTGAAGCCTTGGACTTGGGAGTAAATTTATGGGAGTAAATTCAGGAAACTTTGAAAGACCTCTTGTACTTAAGTTAGGCAGATTTGGGGGCATTTCCACATCCCAGGGCCCTAACCCCACCCCCAACATATCCCCAGGCCGGATCACCTCAACAGTCACGTCAGACAAGTGCACTCAACAGAACGGCCCTTCAAATGTGAGGTAGGAAGCCCACCTCTTCCTGTCTTGGTTTTCATGATTTTGATCCTCATTATAGTTGTCTGAGTTCAGCCTCTCAGACCCCCTTTTTCTCTCTTTTGCTTTTTCACTCCATTTTCTCATCCCTTCTTCAAGGCCTCATCAACTCACTCCCCTTTCCTACAGATCAAAGATCCCCAAGGCTCTGATTCCTTTAACCTCTTGCTCCCTCTCCCCACTCCCTGAAGCTTTAACTCTCCTGACACCCCCCCACACCCCTCCCCCTTCCCCAGAAATGTGAGGCAGCTTTCGCTACGAAGGATCGACTGCGGGCACACACAGTACGACATGAGGAGAAGGTGCCATGTCATGTATGTGGCAAGATGCTGAGCTCGGCTTATATTTCGGACCACATGAAGGTGCACAGCCAGGGCCCTCATCATGTCTGTGAGCTCTGCAACAAAGGTACATGCTGAGGGATGCTGGGAGGGCCAGGGACAAAGGGTGGGGACAAAGCCAGAGGCCCTTTCACAGATGTGAGTTAAAGGTGCTGTAGCTGAGAGCTTGTGGCGTCTAGAGCCCTCTAGGGAGCAAACGAAGTGATATTGGGTCTACTGTGCATCGTTAGGTTCTAAGAGGTCACAGCTGGAAGAGATGCTCTGCCAAAGAGAGTCAACCTCTGGGTGTATGTGGGCAGAATGGGAGTGGGACATGGCTGCTTTGGGGAAGGAGTGGTCAAGAGAACCAGTGCCCAAGGGTTGAGAGATGGTTCCAGCTATGTAGCCACAAGTTCTCATCTTCGGCTCCTGGGACAAGTGGAGTACACTGGCAGGGGTTTAACAAGCATGTACCCTGCTTCAGTAGCAGAAAAACTTGCTTTTGAATAGATTTGCTTATTCACTGAGTAACTGGGCTGAGACTTTACGGGACACTGGAGGGAGGGGACACAGCCGTCTCTTCTGAGGGTCAACCCTTCAAGTGTCTAGGAATCAGTGGCCTGTCATCCCAGGAGAAATCCCCTAGCTATGGAGAATGGGTTCTGGGTACCAGTGCCAAGAAGTAGACCCTGTTCAATCAGGTCCCAGTTTCAGAGTGGGGCTGTGCCCTACCAGCCCCAGCAGAGTAGTTGGCCCTAGGTTACCAAGGATGTGGTGGGAGGAGGACAGGGCCACCATCTGAGGAAGGCGTCCCCAGCCTAGGAGAATAACCCCGTCTCTGGGGTCTCCATCTGGCTGACCCCGTCCCCCCATCCCAACCCCCCCCCCCATAGGCTTCACCACGGCAGCATACCTGCGCATCCACGCGGTGAAGGACCATGGGCTCCAGGCCCCGCGGGCTGACCGCATCCTGTGCAAGCTGTGCAGCGTGCACTGCAAGACCCCCGCCCAGCTGGCCGGCCACATGCAGACCCATCTGGGGGGGGCCGCACCCCCTGTCCCGGGAGATGCCCCCCAGCCACAGTCCACCTGCTGAGGGGGACCCCTGCACCCACCAGGCAAGGCGTGGGACATGGCTGGGGGGGACGGATGGTGCGTGTGGGACAAGGGGACTCAAGGGGCCCAATAGGGGATCTCAGGAAGGCCAGGGATGTCCATCCTACCACTCATGTTAGGGAGACTTCTGGGGACAGAGAGGGCCCTTGAGGAGAATTGGGTAAAGATACAGGCCAAAGCCTCTGGGAACCAAACAGGAAATGAGCAACGGCTGTGTCCCGGGGGTGGGAGTCTGGGGCAGGCAGCAAGGCTCTTGCCATTCAGATGGCACTGTGATCTGGTGTTTCTCACCATGCAGGTACTGGTGAGGTTTGTCCAATGGCAGCGGCAGCAGCGGCGGCGGCGGCAGCAGCAGCAGCGGCAGCAGCAGCGGCTGCATCAGTGGCAGCCCCTCCAACAGCTGTGGGTGCCCTCTCTGGGGCTGAGGGGGTGCCTGTGAGCTCTCAGCCACTTCCCTCCCAGCCTTGGTGAACTCCCAAGTTGGTGAGGGGGAGAGGGGAGGAAAATGGAGGAAAGTCCCTTGGTACAATCTCCTTTCTACTCTTCTCTTCCCACCAACTCCTCACTGCTTCCCTCACCACCCAAGGAGCCTCCTGAAGGAAAGGAGGAAGAAATGTTTTCTTAGGGGAATTCACTAGGTTTTAACAATTTGTTCTCCTGCTCCTCTCTTCCTATCAGACCTGACCCCACATACACACCTGTCCTCTTGGTTGTGTTGAAGCTCCCTGGACAGTGGGCAGGGGTGGCAGAGGACAGGAGCAGCCACTGCCCTCACCCCTTCTCCTCTCTGTAACCCTCTGCCTTGCCTTTCCAGGGATTTGTGAACCTTCTCCCTTGATGGTCCTTCTTGCTCTCCTTCCAGTCCCCCCCTACTGTCTGCTGCCCCTCCCTGGGGAGTTGGTGCTTTTTTTTTTCCAGGGGGAGGGAGGAGAGAAAGGAGGGGAATCAAAGATTCTGTCCTAGAGGGGAAAAGGTGAGATTTGAGAAGAGGCAGAAACAGGGAAGGCAAAGATGGTACCTTCATAAGGTGGGGTTGTTTAGGGTCAGGCCCTAAGCATCATCCTACTGGAGAATTTGTCAGGGGAAAACAAGTCAAAGGGAGCAAAAGAAGGAGCCACTTGGGCAAGAGGCAGGGCAAGAGATGGAACTTTATGAGGCCAGGGTAAATAGGGGGGTCCAGGGACTAGAGGTGCTGCCTGGGGTTGGGGGGAAGGCAGCTGGTGTCTCCCCTTTTCCTCTTCCACCCCAGCTCCAGCCCTGGCCTTTTCATCCCTCTCCCCCAAGATAGAAGCTGTGGCCCTGGCCTTGTCATCGTGTTCCAGTGTCCCCTGCATGTTCCCTACCCTTCACTCCCTCTTGCGTGGATCCCATTACAATAAATTTTAAATAAAAACTTGGCTCTGGCTTGAATGAATTGCTCTCACCGAAGCCCCTGTTCCCACCCGCAAAGGGTTTCTTCTTGGACTTGGTGTCAGTCCCAGCCTTGCTCTGCCTTCTGCAGCTCTGGCTCCTCCCTCCCTGGAGGCAGCACAAGTGGCTGCAGCCCAGATTCTGGGTGAAGCCAAGTGTCCAAGTGCTGTGAAGAGCAAGTTCCAGGACCCCCAGATCTTGGGGGGTACCCAATCTGGACAGGTGCAGAATAGCCAGCCGCTGTAAATTTGAAAAGGCCTGGGTTAGAAACCCAAATCGTTGCTACAACCTGCCCAAATACCTGCACACAGTTAAGGCCCTGAGGTGATGGTGGATGATGTAGCTGCAGAGTGGTAGGGGAAGTCAGCCCTAGGACTGGGAGCAGTGAGGTTGAGAATAACCATACTTGTCCATTCTCAGCATGATCCCCCCCCCATCTTCACTCAGCCTCCTCTGCCCCAGCCTCTTCCTGCTGTTCCAGACTGCCCCTGCAGCCTCTGCTCTGCCTTTTGGCATTCCAAACCTAATTCCTCTCCTTTCCAGCGACCCTTTTCTTGAGCCTTCCCATACGAATTTCTGCTGCGGCTTATTTGGTAGAAGGACTTCCTGTTAACGCAGGGCCCCTCCTCTTGAAACCCCACCCTGCAGTCTCCCCAAGTTTTGCCTCATCTCCCTTCCCTTCTTCCCGCTAGTAGGGGTGACTCCACCCGGCCCTGCCTGTCTCCCTGGACCTGCTGCTCGCAGACCCCTCTCCGTTTCATCCAACATCCTGTCTCTGTCAGGACCCCGGTGACCGTTGGCGGGAGGGGCCCGGGGCTTGAGAAGGGGATACCCCCGGGAGGTGCGCGTGGGAAGGAGCAGAGAGCTGGCGCGAGTGGTCCCCCCCGCAGGTTGTCTGGGTAACGAGGGCCTGGCACGCGTGGCTGCCTTGGGCGGGCCTGGAGGGGGGCGGGGGCAGCCGCGTGCGGCATTAGAGCGTAGGGGAGGGGACCTGAGAGGAGGGGACAAGCAGAGCGGAGGGGAGACCCGCCACCTCCCTCCTTCCCTTGCTCCCTCCTGGGTTGCGGCTGCTGCAACGGCGGCAGCGGCGACGGCTGCGGTGGCAGCACCAGCCGGAGCAGTCTGGAGTCCAGCGTCCAGGTGAGATGGGGATTCACTGAGGCTGCGGGTAGGAGTGGACAGACAGAAAGCAGACGCCGGGGCGGGCTGCACTGTACAGGAACTCGGGTGCTGGCCGACTGGCTGGTGGTGCTGGGCGCGCCAAGCCAATGGAATGTGGAGGCGCTGGGGGCACCCTGGGGGCAAGGGAATTCCTGAGAGAGGGGCTGAGGAGGGGCTCAGAGGAGATGCCCAGGACCCCCAGTGAGGAGCGGAGGTGTCTGCACCCCCTAATGCGCAGCAAGAAAACCGCACCCACTGGCACCCAGGTAGGAAGAGGATGCGGAGTGTTATGTGAGTAAGGGGTATGCCTCTGCTCAGTCTGCCTGTCAGTGTGTGGGTGGCTGCACAGCTTGATATTGAGGTGCTGGGGCATCTTCTAGGATTTGGGAGGCTGGATCTTGTTGGGGGTCTCCACCAACCTACCCAGGAGGAGACCATGAGAGGATCCTGTTTACAAAAGGGTTAATCTTTCTAGGGTTCCCGGAGGAGCAGAAGAATTTGAGCAGAGCACTCCACCCCAGAGATATCCCACCCCAAGGCAACTTTTCTTCCTCTCTCCAGGGGCAGCCTAGGCTGGCCCAGAGACAGGGACAGAAAGCCCTCTTAGGCTGCAGTTCTGAGAGCTGCCTCTTTCCTCACACCAAGCCTGTCTCCTCCTCTTCCAGGATTTGCTGCTGTCTCTGCTGCTCCATCCTCCCCTCAGAGGCCCTCTCCCCTCTCCCATCTCAAGATGGCAGCCAGCAGCTCTGAGGTCTCTGGGATGAAGGGGACAGAGGAGGGTCTCCAGGCCCAGGGAGAAGGACCTGGCCATTCTGAGGCCAAAACTGGCCCTCTCCAGGTCCCAGCTGGGGTCCCAGATGAGCCAGAGGCCCTGCAGCCAGGTCCAGACATCACTGGGGCCCCTATGGACTCAGAGCCCAAAGCTGGGGTGGCTCCAAAAATCACAGAGACCCCAACAGGGGCTGCAGAAACGGCCCAGGCCAAAGACCTCAGCCCAAGCTCAGGAGGGGAGCCAAAGGCCAACTCCAGTCCCCAAAAAGCATGCCAAGAGCCAGCATTTCAGCCAGAAGTGAGCAAAGAGGTCACTGCAGACCAGGGGACCAACCTGGAGTCTGCAGGCCCGTTTGAGTCAGCCTCAGAGCCCACTTCCCAGCTGGACCCTCAGTCAGAGGCCCAGCCCACACCCAAGCCAGCCCTTCAGACAGAGCCTCCTACCCAGGAAGACCCCACCACTGAGGTCTTGAGTGAGAGTCAAGGGGAAAAGCAGGAGAATGGGGCAGTGGTTCCCCTGCAGGCTGGTGATGGGGACGAGGGCCCATCCCCACAGCCTCACTCACCACCCTCAACAAAACCCCCCCCAGCCAATGGGGCTACCCCCCGCATGCTGCAGCAGCTTGTTGAGGAAGATCGACTAGGAAGGGCTCACAGTGGGCATCCAGGATCTCCCCGAGGTAGCCTGAGCCGCCACCCCAGCTCCCAGCTAGCAGGGTCTGGTGTAGAGGGGGGTGAAGGAACCCAGAAACCTCGGGACTACATCATCCTCGCCATCCTGTCCTGCTTCTGCCCCATGTGGCCTGTCAACATTGTGGCCTTCGCTTATGCCATCATGGTGAGCCTCATGGGACCCTGGCTTCCTGCACTGGAACAAAGCTGCAGGAGTGCCTGGCCTTCCCTCTCTGCATGGATCTCACTTCCAAATCACAGGGCCTTGCTTGCCTCTCCTTAGGACTTCACCCTCTGAACCACTATTGCCCCATCCCTTCAGGTGGGAGGGATATCCAGATGTGTTTCACACAGCCTTGCTGACTTGTGCCCCCCCCCCCCCCCCCCGCCTCTCTCCTTCCTCCCTAACTATGGCTGGCCTGTCTCCTCTGGATGACTCTTTCACCTGATCCCTGCTGGGCTGGCTTCTCCTGACCTGGGCCATGGTACCCCACCCCTCACCCTAACCTCAGTCCAGGAACAGTCTGCAGCAGGGGGATGTGGATGGGGCCCAGCGTCTGGGTCGAGTGGCCAAGCTCTTAAGCATCGTGGCGCTGGTAGGGGGGGTCCTCATCATCATCGCCTCCTGCGTCATCAACTTAGGCGGTGAGTGGGGGTCTGGGACAGGCTGGGAGGAATGGAAGGGTTGGCAAGGGTGGCTTTACTAACTCTTGCCCCCCCCACACTCTCTCCTGTCTATCCTCTCTATTCCTTTGTCTCTCCTTGTCTCCCCCCCCAACTGTCTGTCTGTCTGTCTGTCCCTTCCTCTCCTCTTCCACAGTGTATAAGTGAGGGACTCTGCCCTGCATTCCAAGACTTTTCTTCCTGTTGGGAGCTGCCTTGGGCCCATCCTCCCCTGCTCCCCTGAGGGGAGCCCAATGGATGGCCCAGGCCCACACCCATAGGGACCAAGGGAGCCTGAGCAGCCTTGTTTACAGTTTTTTTCCTGCTCCTGCATCTTGCCAGGTTCCTCTGCCAACTGTAGGCTTCCCTTCTCCCTGCACTGTTTCCAGTCTCCCTGCACTTCTGCCTGCAGCCAGTCCAGCCTCTTGGTCTCCCTATTTCTGCACTTCTGGGAACCTCCCTGAACATCTCCCGAACTCTGCTCTCAGCCCACCTTCATCTCTCTCATCCTTCCTGCACTTCCTCCAACCTCCCAAATTCCTGGCACCTCAACCCTGACCTCCCCCTCCCCAACTTTCACTGTCTTTGCATCTTCTCCCATCCCTTTCTTCCTTCTCTACTTTATCATTTCTCCTTTCCTCTCCACACCCTTTACCTCTTTTCTCCTCCTGCCTCATCTACCCTCAGCATCCTTTCCTCCCCTAAGGATCCTCTCCTCCATCGTCTTGCCACCGTTTATTCTGCAAAAACCCCAGCATTTAGATCAGGCTCTGGGAGGGCAGCGACGTCAGGAGAGGACTCTCTAGCGCGTGGGTGCTGTTCTCGGCTGGGACCACCCAGGTCTGAATGCCTACAAGGTGCCATGAGGTCGCAGAGCTGGCATACCGGGGCTCGTTTGGGGACTTGTGCAGGAATGGTGAGCACTGTTCCAAACACGCACCTGGGAGAAGGCAGGGGGTGCAGCTGTTGACCCTCCACTGCCAGCCCAAATTGACCTGCAGCACCCCCACCCCGTCCCCGCCTCAGGCTTTTAACCGTGTCCGGGAGTTTCTTAAAGGCATAGGGGGCTGAGGTCACCCACGTGCTTTACAATAAAAGAACACCCCAAACAGAACCAAAGCTCCCAGCCTCAAGGAGCGAGGACGGGGTGGAGAGCTCTATACCTAATTATTTTCTAAGAGGAGGAGGGAGGTGTGTTGTGTGCCACAATCCGATAGGGAGGCAGAGACCGAGCTACGACGCAGTTCAGAATTAGCGGGTTTTTCTGTTTCCTTTAAAAAAAAAAAAAAAAGTTGGGGGGGGGACCTAAAAGTCTAAAAATATATGTATCAAACTGAATCTCCCTTTTTGTATGTCGGATGCTGCATGAGCCTGAAACACCAATAAATGGAGACTGCATGAAACTCTCCTCCAGCCTGAGTTGGTCCTCCCGTCGGTTCGCCACCGGGTGCGCTAGTACTGTCTCTTTGGGGTAGAACCTACTAGATGCTGTGCGCCTGCACCGTCCCGGCGACCATCTTTACTGTGGGCTGAGGCCTAGAATGCCCAAGCGCCTATCTGCGCATGTGCAAGACTTCCCCAGCTTTTCTCTTCCAAGTAGCTTTCACGAGACAGGAGCCTTCCGCGCCATATCTATGCGCCTGCGTACTGTGACCCTGAGCAGCCTGCGGGGCAGTTCTTAGCTCCTGGTGCGTACGGCGACTGACGTAGCGGAACTGCTAGGTGTGGAGAGGGGCGGTGTGAAGGCGAGAAGAACGGTTTGACCTAGAAAGTGGTTTCTGCAGTCCCCTGGGAACATCCGAGTACCGGATCTCAATCCGTGGGGCAGGGTCCTTGGAGGAAACTGAGTGACCCCTCCTGGGAACGGGCGGTCTGGTCGCAGGGACCGCTGTTGGAGCCTGATTGGTTGGAGACATCTTTGGGGACACCCCTGGGGAGCCCAGTTCTTGGCGGTCGGGGGAATCCCCCCGCTTAGCACTCCTGCCTCACCTATAATCGCAGGGTTCCTTCCCTAGTAGCATATGTCCCTTGTCCGGAGTCATGGAGATACTGCGGCCAGCACGGCAGCACCTCTGTCTGAAGAAGGGGAAGTGACCTCCGGCCTCCAAGCTCTGGCGGTGGGAGATACCGGAGTCCCCTCGGCTTCGGCCAGTAAAGCCGAGGAAGAGGGGGAAGGAGTACGGGAGGAGGCCGAGCGTGAGGGGTCTGGGATCGAGGAGGTGCAGGGAGAAACTCCCAACGCTGAGGGTGAAGAGCATGCCAAGGGAGAATCCGAGGACTGGTGCGTGCCCTGCAGCGATGAGGAGGTGGAGCTGCCCGCGGATGGGCAATCCTGGATGCCCTCCCCTTCCGAAATCCAGCGGCTCTATGAACTGCTGGCTGCCCACGGTACCCTGGAGCTTCAGGCCGAGATCCTGCCCCGTCGGCCACCCACGCCTGAGGCCCAGAGTGAAGAGGAGAGATCCGATGAGGAGCCAGAGGCCAAAGAGGAGGAAGAGGAAAAGTGAGGGCACATTCTTACACCTTGTCCTGGGGCTGCTCCCCTGAAGCTAGGAGGAAATAGGGAGGGGAGGTGGGACCCCAGCATGGAAAATGGAGGGTGGGAAGAGAGCACGAGGGGAAGAGCTGGCAGGCTGGGTGAAACACGTGTGGGTGTTTGAGGAGACCACTCTCACCCTTCACTCTGTCCACCTGTCCAGACCGCGCATGCCCACAGAATTTGACTTTGATGATGAGCCAATGACACCAAAGGACTCCCTGATTGATCGGCGACGCACCCCAGGTACTGACGAGGGAAGAGTTGGGGGAAGGTGAAGGGCCTCTGCTCCCACTTACCCAAAAAGTGACTCCCTAAAAGAGGCCTTTGGTGCCCTGTTGCTGCAGGAGAGCATTCACGAAATGGGGCCATCATTTCGGCTTAAGTTGGTAACCCTATATTCCTTTAAGAAAATATCACAGATAACTCTATCATGGCTCCCATTTCTTTTATCTCCATCTCCCCAGAAGTCCAAGTCTTCCATCAAGCAGTATTACCTAGATCCACATCCCTATACTACTGTTTACATTTTCTAACCTGACCCAATTTCTACCCTATATGCCTTCCCAGAATTTACTCTTAGAACTGTTCTTCTTGATTTCTCATTGATTTGTCATTGCAGGGGAGAGGGGGCAGAGCATGTTGTGAAAGAATCCTACACCCCTCTCCCAGGCTTCCAAAGACATTTCCATTTAAAATAAGAGATCTAAACCCTTTATCATGACTTTCATCTTATTTCTTTGGTTTCATCTTTCACATCCCCCCATCTCTCTACACTCTTTGAACAGCCCTCCCTGTTCCTACCCTGGGGCCTTTGCACTTGCTCTTCTACTGCCTGGGTGGTCTTCACTGGTAATTCCCCCAAGTAATTACTAATATCCATGCAGGTGTACACTGTCTCAGTCCCACATTTCTCACCTTCCCCTTCTCCAGGAAGCTCAGCCCGGAGCCAGAAACGGGAGGCCCGCCTGGACAAAGTCCTCTCAGACATGAAGCGACACAAGAAACTGGAGGAGCAGATCCTTCGTACGGGCAGGGACCTGTTCAGCCTGGACTCAGAGGACCCCAGCCCCAGCAGTCCCCCACTCCGGGCCTCAGGGAGTCTCTTCCCCCGGCAGCGGAAATACTGATTGGTGCTGCTGGGGCCTTTCTTCCGCTACTCGGGGTGCTGGGAAACTTAGAAGAGGAGCGAAACTCCAAGCTTCTAACATAGCACCTTGCCAGAAAGAAAGCGTGTGTGTGTGTGTGTGTGTGTGTGTGTGTGTTCTGTCGAACATTTATTTGAAAACCTGGCCTGAAATTTCTGAATCTGAAATAAAAAATACAAAGTTATCTTCTCTTAGAGGAGGGGTTTCAGCTGGAACCCAGACAGTTGTGGAGGGGCAGAATTGTCTTCACCCAGTTTGGGAAGTTAGAGCCTTATGGGGCAGAGATGAACTCATTCAGGCACCTGCCATAGGTCCCAGGCTCTTTCCAGTGGGGCTAGCTGGCTCTGAGTGTTAGAAGAGCTGCAGCACCTTCAGAGGCAGTCAAAGCCGCCCAGAGGAGAAAAGGAGAACCAGCTGCAAGGGCCCTTTAAATACTCAAGCTCCACCCCCGAGTTTGCCCCGCCCTGCCCTGCCCTTCCCTGCCTGGAAGTGATTCCTGAGGCTGGGTCCCTGGATTTTCCCCAATCCGAGGAGTCTGTTGCAGTCAGCCACACTTCTGGATGTGAGTCCTTTGTACTGGCCCCAAGACCTTGAATCAGTGGTGGAGCCTTGGGTCCGTCAAGGCTCTCTCCAGCCCTGTCCTGCCTTCTAGGGCCTTCCTTCTGCTGGGGCAGGTAAGACCTTTCTGAAGCAGAGCAGGCAGAAGGTGGGTGGAGGGTTGGCCTTTAGAGGTTTTGCTTTCCTTGGGAGTTTTTCTGTGTTGTGAAGTAAAGATAGATCAGTTTGCCACCTCACCGACATCCCTCTCCTCCAAAATCTCAGACCTCTGACTTCAAGCTCCCATGTCAGAAGGATAGGAGAAACTTAAGGGGTCTGTTCACACTCCCTCCTGGAATTAGATTGGGTCTTGCTGTCCTCATCTGGCCTCTGACTGGAGACCTTGACTCTGCCCTGTCTCCCTGAGCCCTCAGAATGTGATTTGTCCACATTGAGATCCCTCAACTTTGCCAAATATTGGGGTTTTCATACTGCCCCCCTCAGGGCTATGCCAGCTGTGGGCCTTGTAGATCATTTAAGAAGTCGTTAGCAGAATGATCTTAAGCCAGGTTTAGTTTCCAGAAGGTGTGGGATTTGGTGAGCAGGGCTTTAAAAAAAAATTTTTTTTTCCATGTCTGTGAGCAGGAAGTAGAAAACAGGAAGCGTAGCCCTAGCCAGTGTGGCTCAGTTGATTGGAGTATCATCCTGTAAAACAAAAGGTTCATGAGTTTGTTTCCGGGTCAGGGTACATACCCAGGTTGTGGGTTAGGGGGCACATACAAGAGACAACCAATTGATGTTTCTGTCCCACTCTCCCTCCCTTTCCCTCTCAAAAATCAATAAGCATGTCCTCAGGTGAGGGTTAAAAATATATGTGTTTAAAAGAAAAAGCAGGAAGTTCATTTGGACTCACCAACCTCTAATTCTAGGGATCTTAGATCTCAGGAGGGAAGCCTGGAAAGGTAGGGGATGGTGGGTGAGACAAATGTCCCCTCTGTTGTGCTCCCTGCCTGGCTGGACCCCTGGATTCTGGGTTATGGGGGAAAGACTGGCAGGAGGCATGCCAACTAACTCCCTAGAAATGCCTGCCTTCTGCTCTGGGCACACAGGGCACCCAGCCTGCCCCGGGTTGGTACTTTCTGGCAGGGCAGCTCTCCAAAGACATGAGCAAATAAGACAGCCACCTGAAGGTTCCCTGGTAACTCAGGCCTCCTTGTGTGTCCTCCCCTCCCAGGTTGCAGAAAGTGCTGATAATTGAGTTGCCATTGGCACTATTTCCTGGAGAGTACCCAGCCCCACCCAACTCCTGTTCTAGGTTTAGAATCATAATTGACATTTGTGCCTAAGAAGCCAAGCTGGTCCTCGTTCGGGGGGGTTCTGCAGTCCGGGTACCCGAGGTGGAATTCTGGCTTTGAACTTTGATTATTCCGTGACCCTGAGCAAGTTCCTTAACTTCTAGGTTCTTGGGAGGGTTAAGTGAGTTAATTAAAGGTATTTAACACTATGCCTGACATTGAAGTTTTTAATAAGTGGGGGCTGTTATCCAGGGGCCCTTGCCAATGATAATGAAAGTTCCAGAGTCTCCTCAGCCCATTGTGAGACCTGGAAACACCCCCAGCTGAGTCCTGGATGAGTTTAGAAAACATCTGGATCAGGGATTCTGAAGCCCTGTTCCTGGGTCACTTCTAATCTAGGTAATCCTTGCCTTCAATGGTTGGCTTTAATCAGCAGCACGCAGGTGGTCAGGGGACGGAGGACAAGAGGCATGCTGGCAGGCCGGCAGAGCTGTTCCTCCCACAAAGCTCCACCCCTTTGGGCTGGAGCTTAGATAAGATTTTCCTAGGAGAAAAAGTTTCTAAAATGTTGCTGCTACATGATTTGCGTGAGACAGATTTTCAAAATTCTCCACTATAGTCCCCTAAAGCGGGAAATAATTTCCCTAAACCAGGAAACTGTCTAGTGGAAACAGTCTCTCTGCAGTACCTGAGTAATGTGACTCTTGCCTTCTCCCAACAAAAACTAGAAGGTGTAAAATCGGCGAAGGTAAACTGGGAAGAGAAGTGCCTGTTGATGACACACTTCTTGTGGGCCTTTCTAACCCTAAGCCTGGTGGAAGTGATGGTGACAAGGCTGAGTCGCTGACCTCACCTCCATCTGCAGGCATGCCTGGACCAGGAGTCTGGGATTTGGGACAAGGGGGTTTGTGATCCCTGGCTTGTATAGCTCAGTGGATTGAACAGGGTCCTGCAAACCAAAGGGTTGCCAGTTCGATTCCCAGTTCAGGGCACATCCATGGGTTGCTGGCTAGGTCCCCAGTGTGGGACTTGTGAGAGGCAACCACACATTGATGTTTCTCTCCCTCTCTTTCTCACCTCCTCCTCTCTCTAAAAAGAAATAAAATATTTTTAAAAGTCGGGGTGGGGGCTTGTGTTGGCTAGGGGACTCCTTGGCCCTGGGGGTGAAGGGGCGAGGGGAGTATGAAGGGAATCCCCTGCCCTTGAGCAGTGAGTGGTCTGTAGTGTGAGGTCACCTTCGTTCTTCCTTCCCCTGGGCATCCTCCAGTCTCTACCCCTCCAAAGATCACTAATTTCCAGTATCTAAACCTAGGAAATAGTCACTTCTATTTCCACTTCGAAGTGTAGGAAAGTAAGGCTCAGAGGCCAGCATGTGGCTCAAGCACGTGCTGGCAATGACAGGACCAAATTCCTGCTGTATGAGTCAGGAGAGAGCAATGCTCGGACCTCACCTCAGACCAATTCATCAGGGTCCTCAGAGACGGGTGGTTGCCAAAGCTCTCCAGGTGGTTCTAGTGTAGTCAGGGCTGAGAGAGGCTGCTGCAGACCTGGGTGCTCATACTTAAATGTGAGCCCAAATAAATCACTGGGGTTGAGTTAAGATGCCAACTGACTCAACAGCTCTCAGGTGGGACCCAAGATTCTGTGTCGCTAATAAGCTTCCAGGTGCGGCTGCTGCTGTTCACTGCAGACCAAATACACAAGTGTAGCTGGTCACCTGGGCATCAGTTAAGATTCACTGTCAGCCACTCACAATGGACCCTGAAGATCTCTGGTATGTAGTGACTCGTCAGTCAATTAAAATTTTCGGCAGCAAAAGTTTATTTTTGAGCCAAGATGCAGGTGAAGAGCTGTCTCAATGAGAGGATGGACCCAGCTTCTCCTTACAGGCTGTTGTGCTCGCCGCTCATCCACTCATTACGCGTCTTCTTGGAGTGTGTGGGGGGAGGTGTGATGCAGCCAGGAAGCTGCTGGTCTCTGAGACTTTGGGGGAAAGCTGACTGTTCTTAAGGAGCCTCATGACACTTGAGGGACATGTGATCAGGCAAATCTGGATATGTACCCAGAGGACAGACTAGGACAGATCTCAGAATCTGGCACTGAAGGGAGAGCTATGAGTGGATTTGGGGTGTTGGGGCCACACCAAAGTCAGGGCAGGACCTTCCAAAGGTCAACAGACTCCTTAACCATGCTCTTTCCAGGGCTCGGTATGTCAGCAGTAAAATGCTCTGACTATTCATGTCATCTGGTAAACCACAAAAGTCTAAATTTGAGACTTGTCACCAACATGCTGCTTGAGTCAAATGGTTTCCCCGGATCTCCTGAGAGGCCCTATATTGAAACTCAGTTCTGTGGATGGTGAGTGAAAAGGCCAAGTCTGTTCTTGGGTGAACTTGGCAGGTGCTCTGGCTGGAAGGAACAGCTGTAGAGCATGGTGGATGGGTGGTCAGGGGGATAAGACAAAGTCCTGGTACTGAAACAAGGGCTACTGGCATGGGCTTGGCCTCATACAAGGCAAAAGTCCAGTTTGATCAGTTGAAAGGATGACTCGCAGCTGAGTCACTGAGCTGGGCCAGGCTCTCAACCCTGCTGACGGAGGCCAGCTGGGGTGACAGATGGTGAGAGCCCTCAGCCATAGGGGGAGGGAGGGATCATCCATCGAGGAGCCACTGGAGGCTTTTTCTAGAGCCTGCTTCCCAGCCTTGCATAACCCAGAGTTCAAATCTTCCCTGCGGGGCCTCAGGGAGCCCTCTCCGTGCCTCCGCCTGCAGCCCTAGCTGTTCCTCTCCCTCCATCTGGCTTCCTGGCCAGGCTTCCGCCCTGCAGAGAACCTGGCAAAGGAGCAGCTGGGAAAGGCTGCTCTTGGCTGTCAGATGCCCCTTTCTTTTCTGTTCTTCTAGCCCCACAGCTGGAGCAACCAAAGACTTGCCACATTCTTGACCAGTACATAGTGAGGGTTGAGGCTGAGCCTCGGGTGCTAGGTCACATGCCCAAAATGGATAAGGAAGCGGCCTCAGGCCACCCTCCCTCAGCAGTGAGACATGGTGCTTCTGAAGAGCCAGGCTCTGTTCCAGGTGCTTTATGATGAACTCAGCCCTCATAACTTGAGTAAATGTCCTATCCCTTCTCAGTTTATTGGCCAGGAAACAGGTATAGGGAAGGCAAGGGACTTGTCTAAGATCACCCATCCAAGGAAAGGTTAGAACCAAGATCAGTTCTAGCCCCCAGGGGAACAGGGGCCCCACATCGGGGAGCAATTTCAGGGATTGGAAGCACAGCTGAGCAGAATGGGACAGTAGAGAGGAAGAAAAGAGAAGGTCCAGATGAGAGTGAGGAGGGCAACAACCCCCGAAGCAGAGCAC